GTATTTTTTTAAGGCTTTCCATAGCTGCTCGAGGCAGGCAGAAGGATTTTCTTCCTTTCCCTGAGTTATGGTGGACATCATTGAATAATTCACGGGCTTTTTCCTAATTCTTCTTAGTCCTTTCAGAACACAGGTTAACAGATGTTTATGACTCCAGTACCCATTATCTGAGTCAAGGTCCCAGTGGGGATCCATACTGAGGACAGCTTGCTGACTGGTAGGGAATTTGTCCCTTTCTTCAGCTGTCATTCTATCATTTACTTGACTAAGATACCAAGTATCTCCAAACTCTCAGGCTGCAGTTAAAGCCACATTCTTTTCATTAAAGGCTAGGGTTGGATCTAACAATAGCATGACATCTCTCCAAGTGAGATCAAAGGTTTGCCCTAGACCCTGTAGGACACTTATGTAACTATCAGGATCATCTGAAAACTTCCCAAGGTCTGCCTTGATCTGCTTTAAATCAGAGAGGGAGAAGGGGCATTTACCTAGGTTAGGCCAAATTCCCCTCCCCCTACAGCTTGAAGGGGTCATAACTGATAGCCCAGGGGGTTTTGTGGTTCTTTTGGAGATTTCTTTGCTTGTTTCCTTCTGGGCGGGGGAGATTAGAGGAGGCTTATCATTAATAGGAAGGGGAACTATAGGGAGGCTAGGATATGGGGGTAAGCTGAGAGGTCCTCCTGTGGGATGTAAATTGCAAGCTTTGCATAGTTGTGGATTCTCCTTCAATGAAAAGAAAGCTTGGACATAAGGTATTTCACTTCATTTGCCTTCTCTCTTACAGAAAAGGTCAAGTTGCAGGATAGTATTGTAACTTATACTTCCCTCAGGTGGCCATTTTTCCCCATCAGAGAGAGAATATTGGGGCCAGGCCATACTGCAGAAAAAAATGAGCTGCCTCTTTTTCAGGGTTTGCAGGTCAAATTGGTTCCAATGGCTTAGGATGCATTTCAAGGGTGAGCCTGTTGATGCCTGGGTATTTCCCATCTGAAAGACAAAACCACCTGCAGTTTTGGTTTGTTTGTTTTTCCCCCTGCCCAAGAACCCACAACAGTCCCTGGACCCTGCTGATTGGAATAGTTGTGCTCACGGACGCAGCAGCAGAAACACCTTTTGCCCAAGAACCCGTAAAGGTCCCTAGACCCTGCTGATGGGAATAGTTGCACTCACCGACACAGCAGCAGAAACACTAGTTTTCCTCCTAGACCACAAGGAGGACTGAGAAAGGTCAGATTTAGTGACCCTTACCAACACATTTTCAAAAACCTGCACCCTTGCTTGTCCTCCTAGACCACAAAGAGGACTGAGAAAAATCGGATTTAGTGGCCCTTACTGACACATTCTTGGAAATATGTTACAGCCCTAAGGATTCTCCTGTTAGTATTGGGACTTAAAGATGTTATGCCCCAAAAATGAAGTGGAGAGCAATATCCTGATGGAGGGGAGGGATCTCCAGAGTTTGAAAAGCGATGCCTTTTGTCCTCACTTATATGAATAGGAAGGATACAATTTCTGAGGCTCCCCATATCCTAGCTTCAGGAATAGCTTTTTTTTAGGCCTACTTGTCTGAGGAGAGATCCTAAAATTCCAGGTAGTACCCTCCTACCGACAGGGCTTTGGGCAAAAATTATGTCTTTCTGATTGGTGAGCCTGGGTGCCCAAGGAAGGTAACAGAGTCCTGAAGTTTATACTAGAAATCATTCTTATAGGAGAAACTAGAAAAGCACCAGAGACAGGGAGTGGTTTTTAGAAGCGGGACTAGCCTCGGAGAAGAGAGGTGAGAGGAAGTTTGTCTGACAGGCATTAGGACCCAGGAGGCAAGGGTCAGCATAGATAGGATAGAAGGACGAGTCTCACTTGGGCAACATGACTTTGAGAGTTCCACTCGTGGCCACAGCGTCAACCAACTTGTTGTCAGGACCCTGGAACTGAATGGCTTTCCTCTCTGTTGACCCTTGGCTCAGCCCGGAAGTACAGGAACAACAGAAGCCGGTTCCAGGGAAACCAATGCTCCCAACTCCGAAGAATCGGGAGTTGTTAGAGAGCCCTTTCCCAGAAAGCCTGACACCTGTGTCTTTAGTCCGACGGTCACTAAAGTCGCTTTTAACTGGCTGACAGGTGCCCAGTATTTAGCCCCTGAATTCTAAGGAAAAATAGGACAGAATAGCAAGTGAAAGGGGTCTGATGGTACTTACCACTTGGTGATAGTCCCATCTGGGTTGCCAAAATGTGTCCTGAATTTATTCCGTCCAATGGGTTCTTGATCTTGCTGACTTCAAGAATGAAGCCGCAGATGCTCACGATGAGTGTTACAGCTCTTAAAGATGGTGTGTGCGGAGTTTGTTCCTTCAGATGTTCAGATGTGTCCAGAGTTTCTTCCTTCTGGTGGGTTAATGGTCTTGCTGACTTCAGGAGTGAAGCTGCAGACTTTCATAGTGAATGTCACAACTTTTAAAGATGGCACATCCAGAGTTGTTTTTTCCTCCAGGTGGGTTCGTGGTCTTGCTGACTTCAGGAGTGAAGCCACAGACCCTTGAGGTGAGTGCTACAGCTCATAAAGCTAGTGCAGACCCAAAGAGTGAGCAGCAGCAAGATTTATTGTGAAGAGCAAAAGAACAAAGCTTCCAGTGTGGAAGGGGACTCCAATGGGTTGCCGCTGCTGGCTTGGGTGGCCAGCTTTTATTCCCTTATTTGGCCCTGCCCATGTCCTACTGATTGGTCCATTTTATAGAGTGCTGATTGGTCCATTTATACAGAGTGCTGATTGGTGCGTTTACAAACCTTTATGTAGACACAGAGCACTGATTGGTTCGTTTTTACAGAGTACTGATTGGTGCACTTACAAATCTTCAGCTAGACACAGAGTGCTGATTGGCATGTTTACAATCCATTAGCTAGACAAAAAAAGTTCTCCAAGTCCCCACCCGATCCAGAAGCCCAGCTGGCTTCACCTTTTAATTTGTCATTTTTAAAATTAGGGTATATCATGGAAAACAGTGATTCTGAATTGTCATTTGAAATTGGTTAGACCCTTATTTATTGTACTTAATTTTTTTAATATTATGAATCCTCCAATTCTAAAGAAAATCCTTCAGTGTTTTATACTTAACTAGAGGTAGATCAAGATGGTCATAGTCATGGGTTAATTATCATAAGAGTGATAATTCACTTCAAAACCACCTCTAAGTTTAACTGATCATACACAATATTTTCTGAAACAAACAGTCTAGTAAATGCAGTTTGCTATAACACTCATAGTTTTCAAGGTTTCAAATCAAGGATCCTAAGAACTAGTAGGCTTTCCATGATTACAGGAAAACTCTGCCCTCTTTAGTAAAGAGATGGCCAGAGGACCAATTTCACTGTGACAAAAAACAAGAGATTTAATTTAGATTGTGTAGTAACTGGTATGTAAATATCAGTAACCTTTCTTATCTATCAGAAGAGGCTAATGGTTAATCCTATGTTTTGTGTTCTCAAAAGCACTTGGGTCAACAGTGTGTCATTCTTTCGAAAAGTAAGTGGAAAACAGAAGGCACAGGATCTGTGGTTTAACTTTAATCAAGACTAAGTCAAAGTTGTCTAGGTCCTATAAATTTATTTTACAGATCTTAGCTTTTCTATTATTGATCTGTAAACACTTCTTAAATCAATTACTTCAGACTTTTCTCAGCATAGTTGAAAATCCCATGTATTTGCTTTTTAGTTTTGTTTCTGTGGATGCAGAAGTGTTTTTAATTATGTAAGAACTTATTAATTTGTTTTCTTCTACTACTTCTATATCTATATGAGAAAGTCCTTCTCCATATGGTTAACTACCAATATTTTCCAATTTTAATGCCTTATGAAAACTAACTCCTTTATCAGCTATTGTGTGATGTGAAGAATAATTTTATACATTTTCTGAGTGGTAATTCCAAATAAACCACATATGGTGGTCTTAAATTTTCTAGGGCCCCTTCTGGTCTATTTTCAATCACTTGTTTCTTCTGATAGTTTTAATTACCATTGTTTTAAAATATACTTTAAATATCTGATAGAGCAATTCTACCTTAAACATTTGGTCATTCTTTCCCCAAGATATTTTCAGCTAGTGCTATTTATTTTACAGGATAAATTTTGGAGTTGTTTAATTTTCCTCTTCATCCCTCCAGAAAAAAAATTCCATTGGATTTAGTTGGAAAATATATTTTTAAACTAATTTGTGTTGAGTTAATGAGTTATGTCTTTCAGTTTTGGAACATGGTACTTTTATCTATGCAAATATTTGTGTGTTTGTATGTATTTGTGTGCCCACACATGCAACTTAATAAAGTTTCATAGTTTGAACAATAAATCTCAAATTTAGGGTTATTCCTAGTTATCATATGGCTTTTATTGCTAAATGTAATTGAAGTAATTTTCCCCTTATATCTTCTACATTTTACTGCTATGGTTTTAAGATGACAATTGCTATATAATTTGTATCTATTTTTTCTAATTTATAGTAGAAAATCTTAATATACATTTTAATATTCAATTTTCCTTGTGTTCTTGGGATAAATCCTATTTGGTTCTGTCAAATGTTCATCAAATAATCTGCTGAGGTCAAGCATTGACTTAACCCGGAGGTGGTTGACAGTATACCACCCTGGCACAAGGATTATTTTCAGCAGAAAGCAATTGAAAAAAAAAGGTAGACAGAAGAAACACTCTCTGCCCTCCCACTCTCTCCACTAGGAAAGGCAGAACAATTCTTAGAGACAAATCTAGACTCTTATCAGCCCAGAGACGACACCAGAAGAATCTACATAACAAATCTTTCTAAAGAAACCTTAGTTTTCTACAGCTGTCCCCAATATATTCACTTTCCTACAATATGCCACCCCTAGAAGCTCAAGTTCTTTGCCTTTAGAAGCTCAAAGTCCTTTTCCTTTATTTTGTCACTTCTCTTATTTATTGTTCTTTTGTTAAAATGTTATATAAGCCCAAGTTCTAATCACCTCTTTGAGTTACTCACCACCGAATTTTCCCACATATGCATGATATATGTGTTAAGAAAATTCCGTTTTTCTCGTTTTAATTTGTCTTTTGTCAGTATCATTGCTAGCGTTCCAGCCAATGAAGCTAAGATAGTCTGAGAAACAAAACAAAAAACAAAAAACAAAACAAAAAAAACACTTCTCTACACCAACTAAAGGAAAAATCTCTATCTCTCCTACAACTACTGCTACTCTCGGTACTTCACTTCTCACACCAGATGTATGGGATTTTTCCCCCCACAACAACTGGGTATCTTACAATTCAATTCCATTCTTATCTACCTTAGGTTAGCATGGACTGCACAAGTTAAGAGCTCAGTTTCACAAGACTGTCCTCACTCCCCAGTTCAGATGCCAATTGCAAGTCCAGGTTGTCACATGTGCTACTGACTGCCCAGCAATAAATCAGAGGTTCCCACGATCCCCTCCTCAGGTTTGATAATTTACTAAAACAACTCACAAAATTCAGGGAAACACTTTACTTGTGTTTACCTACTTACTACAAATGATATAGTTCAGGAACAGTCAAATGAAAGATGTATATGGCAAGATATGGAGTCTGGGCACAGAGCTTCACTGTCCTTTCTGGGTACACCATCCTCCCAGCACCCTCCATGTGTTCACCAACTCAACTTTCTGAACTCTCCTTTTGGGGTTTTATGAGGGCTTCATTACATAGAAATGATCAATCACATCATTGGCGATTGCTGATTAAGTCAATTTCCAGTCCCTCTCCCCTACCCAGAGGTTGGGCTGTAAGTTCTAAACTTCTGATCACAGGATTTGTTCCTCTGGATAGATGGGTAGAAGATAAATACTTTTTTCCTTCCCTATACCACAGAGCTTGTAAACTCTATTTAGAGAAATTGAAAAAGAGTCATAAAACTTTTGGGGAAAAGGAAATAGAAAATAGTATGTTTTGTGAATTAGTTCTAAGTAAAGAACAGATATATAGTTGATTAACATTGCAAGTGATAACTGACATTGCTAATGTACTCTTCCTTCCCTGTCCCCTTCTTTATTTCTTTGTTTTTCCAATCTGTTTTTGCCCTGTCACCCATAGAAGAGGCAATAGGGAGACAATCTAAACTTTTCCTCCAAGCAGCACAATTTTAAGAACAGGAATCAGAATAAATATTTCTAATCTAAACAAAACACAAGTTTGGTTTCTTAGTATTGATTAACATGTCTTCTCTTATTTAATTCTCAAAACAACCTCATGAGGCAGTGAATGGTAACAGGTGTTCTGTAAGGCAAGAATGGTAGAAGTATACATCATTTTCATAGATGCTACAGTCTCCCCACAAGAAGCTGTGGTCTTCTTGGTGCTGAATTGGCTTAGGAACCAAGAAAGCTTGGTGCTCATCAACATTCTCCTAAATAGAAACAGAAATATTCTAATGCACTTACTTCTAGGATAGTATTGTAAATCTGAAGAATAAAAAAGACAGTGGTTTAGCAATTGACTTTTTTATCCACTCTGAGAGGACCCTACCTGCACGGAGAGTGACACCTGTATGTGGGCCCTTCTTAGGAAGGCCAAAGCCAGCAAAAAGCCATACATCCTCTTTCGCTGGGCTTTTACTTCATTACACATTTATTTCTTGATTAAGTAAACTGGGAATTCATAGACCATAGTGTGCATGGTGGTGGGGTGTCTCCTCTCACAAATGAGGAAACTGAGTCTTAGAAAGATTTGAGCTCATTCCCAAAGTCACTTAACTAGTATGTGGCAGAACAGAGATATGGACCCAGAACCATCAGATTTCAGAACTGTGGACTTCTATGTCCCATGGTGTCCAGAAATCTTGGTTGACCACCCAAAATGCTTTTCCATTTCCCTTCTCTCTAGTCACCTCTGGTCAGGCATGGCCATGTGACAATTCTGGCCAGAGATTTAAGTCTGCTACAGGATTCTTGGAAACATGTTTGCTTTCCTGATAGGGATAATCCTCCCTGTGCCTTCTTTCATCAATGTAATGATGAGAACTGAAATAGCCATTATGCAACCATCAGGAAAAGCCAAAATAATTGAAGTACCTTTAGTGCTGGTAGAGTTCAACTGTTGAACTAGCAGTGCGCCTGCATTTCTCTTTGAAAATAATGAGTTTAAATCACAGTAACCAGGTTTCTAACTACTACCAATTGATAAACTCATGTAATGCCTTTTGCTGTGATTATTTTGCCTTATTAATTTAAAGTCTTAATTTTGTTGTGTTTTTGTCTAAAACTACTTCATTCATTCTTTACTTTTAGTATTTCTGGGCAAATTTAATCTAGGTGTGATCCATGTAAGAAACGTTGTTGGACTTTGTTTTTAACTAAACCTGAGATTTTATATCTTAATTTTAAATCTGACAAAAGTTTAACAGTAAGTCTATTTCAACATCCTATAAGAAGAGACTAGTGTATGTCACATGTAAGCCACATATTGAATATAAAACAATCTAAACATGTTTCATAAGAGAAAATCAGTAGCATAGTGATTCATGGGAAACCAGTTACCTATTAATTTTTTTCCTGGTCCAAATCCTTTGTAAACATGCAGATGACCATGACAGACCAAAGTTGTTGGCTTCATCGGGAAGTTGATAATATTAAGCTGAATGATGTGATTTAAAGGGGCTACTAACCTCCATTGGCAACTATGGCACAGATGAAACAAAGTCAGAAATTATTTCTAAACAGAATATATTGTTAGTTATTTTGCTCAGAAATTAATGCATCAATGTTATTGACCCCCAGTGAGCCTTAGTTTTTGTGTCTGTTTCCTTACGGTTGTGAGAGAGAAAGATTTGTACTTTAAATTATATTAAATTTATTACCTAATACCTAATTTGCCAAAATTTGTAAAGTTCACACATTATGGTGAATGGTTGACCAATTGTGGGTATTGCTTTAAATTCTGATTGAAAATTTACAAGATCTGAAGGATGTACATGTGCCAGAATTTGCCCCAAACTCCCATGCATCATTTATTAAGTATCTACTATGTGCCCAAGTAGTTTACATACATTATATCAGCCTCCAACATTCTTTGTAGAGATTTGACTTTTCACTTTGCTAGTACATGGTCTATTTTGTTGAGAAAGTACAATTCATAAACAAGAACCTTCTTACATTGTTTTGTTTTGTTTCCATATTAAAGGCCATAGATTAGGGGTTACCTAAGAGTGTATTCTTTATGGAAAAGAGGTGAAGAATAATGTTTTAAGTAAATACCAAGTGTTGATGTCAGTCAAGCCATTTTTTCCACATACTTCTTCCATTATAATAATCATTCCTTCCTTACCTCATAGTAGTTCTGTGAGAATTTCTTGGGATCTGCATGATCCCTTCTGGCTTGATCAGAAGAATATCCTCACAAGGGACCAAGTGCTCTCTGTTTGAACTTTGGGAAAGTCTGGTTATTTTACTGTCCTTTGGACCTAGAAGAATAGGAAGCAGAGAAAATGAGAATAAAACCAATGTTTAACAGGCTTCCTATATGCCTTTTCAGATCAAGGTAAACAGCTCTCTTCCCTAATTGTCATGGGAAAACAAGTAATTCTTAGGAGGTGGTTGGTTTCACTGAAAATTTTCTCCATCTTAAATATTCAAAAGGTACAGGAAACAAGCACATCTCTCAGAATGATCTCTGACATAGCCTAGGGTCTATGGAAGATTACAGGACACAGCTATGGATAATACCTGTTAACTGCCTAATTCCATCTGAAAGCAGTATTCTTAATATATTCTTCCAAGAGAAAACTTTCATATGATATAAATGCTTTATTACTCATTTAACTTTTTCCAAATATGCAGTATACACAGGTCTAGAAAAATATATTCTCAGCAATGCTTTTAGGTGCCAAGGGGGGAAGCTAGCTTTCAGTTGTCTATATCAAGAAGAAAAAAACCTCACTAATTACATGTTCTAAAGTTTAATCTGACAACTCTGAATTACATCGTTTACACTTACAATGCTAGAATATAATATTTGTGTAGTTTGTTTTCAAAACTTATTCTAGTTTTTTATTATATCGTTACAAAGAAAATTCTAATCAGAGATAATAAATTGTCCACAGCTAATCAACCAGCTAAGATTTAGAAACCAAATCTTCTGAGTCACAAGAATTATGGCTGCAGAAACCATTCTTTGTGGTATAAAACTGCAGCCACAGACAAAAGTTATCTTGCAACCAACATATCTTAGCCATTTTCAGAAATCATATACAATTCAATCAAGTTCTCTATTGAGCAGTTTCCCTTTTGGACCTGATCAAATCTTAGGTGACTTAAGTAGATTTTCCTTTCAAACATATACCAATTTCCCCACAGAAACATAATTTCTTTCAAAATGCTGTGTAGGTTTTGAAATATTCCTAAATAGAGTAATATTGATTTTTTTAGCCTTTACGAGTTTATAAAATAACCAGACATACCTAGGACTTTCAAGACTATACAGCTTATGCCAAATGCACCTTGTACAAAGGACTGGAATGTCACCCTCACCCGTGGTCCAGGACTCATGAAAGTCATTGAGTAAAGTCTTCTCCCATGTAATCCACCTAGGTTAAAAAGTGAACTCTAGTAAAAAAAATAAGAATGACAATTTTACAGCAGTTTCTATATTTTAGGCAGAGCAATTAATTTAACCCATGAGGTAGGAATTGATTCTATTTTGTAAAACGAGGAAACAGGATTCCAGAACACAAGTGACTCACTCAGCATCACAAACTAGTGGGGTAGGAAGTTAGGATCTTCAACTTGGGTCCATGTATTTAATATCCATCATTATCTACTTGTTGCAGTGCTTCCTGAAGGACAGTAGGTAGTAAATTATTTTATCTCTAAAATGACTGATATGACCAATTTCTCCTAGAAAAGTAACCTACTTATTAAAAATACCTCACCATGAAGATCTATGATGGAAAACATTTTCTACTTGAAAATGTATTATTTCCCTATAGTCAGTCTTTTATTGATTGCTTTGAGAACCTAAGTCAAAGATAGAAGGGAAAATTATAATCATAATTCTGAAATGATTCAGAGGGCTGATTAAGCATGTGTGGAAAGAACGTGTGAATTTCTTAGGATCAAACTCTTCTACATTAAGAATAATTCAGTATCACTTTGTAACATTTATTTAAATTCACCTGCTCAGAAAGATATCTGCTGATTGTACTACATACAACTATGTGGCACCTACATCCCAGATACTTCTTTTCTCCTTTCCCACTTTATTTTTTCTTCCTTAGTTCTTCCATCTAAGATGCCTTATATTTTATCTTATTATGTGTTTTCTCCCTGCTAGAATATAAGCTTGATAGGGGCAGAAAATTTTATTTTTTTCACTACTGAATCATCAGAACCAAGATGACTTAGTCCCTGGCTAATAGTAGGTGCTTCACAAATACTTGTAGGATAAAAGGAGGGAGGGGATAAGAGCCAAGAAAGAGAAAAGAAGAAAAACATTCGTTGGCATTTTAAAATATACAATGGTGAAATGCTATTTGAAGAATGACCTAATATTTCTTTGTAGCAAATAGAAGTGAATGTAACTTTTAAATGAATTGCTACCTTTAACAGGGAGAAACAGCATTTTACAGTAAAGAATGCTATATAATTTAAGTAAAGAATAATATTTCCATTACAGGCTTGCTATTCTCCTAGATGTAATCTGAAGGGACAGAACAATTCCACAAAGTTCAAGCTGACAATTTCAAAAATTAAAGAAATGCTAGGTTGGAAAATTATAGGGATTCCTTAGGTAATCTACAATGAAGTCAAGCATGGTTTTCAATAGGCAATAATGATAAAGGCAAGTTTCCCCAGAAAATGTGTCTCTCCGTATAAGAATATAGTATATTATAGAAACAGTGCTATCAAGTCAGAAGAAAAAGACTTTTTAAAAAGAAAGCAGCTATAGTCACTTTACCATATGAGAAAATATATTTCAGCATGATTTTGAGTTTTTTTTTAAATTAAACATTCTGACCTCAGAATGGGGAATAAATTTTTAAGCATGAAAGTAATGAGATAAAAACCAAAGATCAAAGACAGGTATAGATAAGCAACTAAATTTTAAAAAATTTACATTAACATAATAAATAATATGAAAGCAAATGGCAATACTAAGAATAAGCATTAAGAATAAATTAATGACAAAGGAAAGCATTAAGAATAAACTTATGACAACATTAAGAATAAGCATTAAGAATAGATGTGACCAAGGAAAAATATCTTTTATATAAAGTTCATAAAGCAATAAAAAGAATAATACTGAAATTTTAAAAATGTACAAAAGACAATGGCAATTAATTTTTAAACAAACAAGCTGGGTCCAGTAGCACGTGCCAGGTATTTGGGAGGCTGAACTAGGAAGATCTTTTGAGCCCAGGAGTTCGAGGTCAGCCTGGGCAAAATAGGGAGACATAGTCTTAAAACAAAGAAAAATAAAAGCAAAAAAGAAATTATCTCCATTAATGATTATTTTTAAAGGACAATTGCCCATTAAATTGACATATTAGGTTCTGGGCATGGTGAAAGAAGATCCTTGGCACTGCTAATGACCGTGAAAATTAAGTTAGCCTTTCTGAAGAGTAATTTAACAAATCTTCATGAAAAAAAACAAGCTCAGCAAAAATTCATGAAAAAGAAAACGTTTCGAGTCCCTAGGTGTTGACCTCATTGGAAGTATACAGAAGGGAACAGAGAGCAAGGTCTCTGCTCTCATGAAGCTTTCATTTTAGTCAGGTAAATGAAGATGGTTTCATAGAGAGATCAAAGATGAAATGAAAGCCAACATAACAGACAATGGCTGTGGGAAGGAATGCATGATGCTACTTTAGACTGAGAGGCCCTCTTTGAGGAGGTGACTATTCTCTTGTTCACTTATTTATGAAGTGTCTTCTACATGTCGGGCACTGTTCTAGGCACTGAGGCTTCTTGATCCAAACAGGCAAAAATTCCAGCTCTCATGAAACTCATACTCAATCGGGAAGACACAGATAAGCCATAATCATGAAAAAAAATTATACTGTGTTAGATTCTAATCTTTTAACCCCGGACTTCAAACTTTTTGGCACCAGGGACCACGTTCGTGGGAGACATTTTTTTCCACAAACAGTGGGAGGGATGGTTTTGGGATGAAACTGTTCCATCTCAGATCATCGGGCATTAGATTCTCATAAGGAGCAGGCATCCTAGATCCTTTGCATGTGCAGTTCACATTCCTAGGAGAATCTAATGCTGCCACTGATCTAACAGGAGGCGAAGCTCAGGTGGTAATGCTTGCCCGTTGTTCACCTCCTGCTGTGTGGCCCAGTTCCTAACAGGCCACGAGTTGGTACTGGTCTGCGGCCTGGGGGTTGGAGGGTTGGAGACCCTTGTGTCAGAAGATAATAAGTGCTCTAAGAAAAGGGAACTGAGAAGTCTGGAGGCAGGGGCGTGATGCAACTTACATCAGTCAAGGTTGGTCTCATTAAGAAGGTGACCTTCCATCAAGAATTGAAGGACATGAGACACAAGGATGAGAAGGAGCTCTTTGAAGTGCTGGGAATAGACAGACAATGGTCCCAAGGTGAGAATGAGAGGTATTGGGAACCCATGAGCTAACAGAGAGGGAGTCTTCCAGGGAGTGTGAATTTTATTCTCGCTGCAAGAAGCCCTGGAACTGTTCTAATCAAGGGGGATGGAGGAGGTGATCCGATTCTAGGGGGAAACGTGCCAAGCAGGTAGGCTAATTAATTGTGTCACTGTAGTCTAAATTAGATTGTACTTATAAAGAAAGATTCTTTAAGCAAACATTTTTGCTTTCTAACCCAGTGATTTAATCTCTCAGAGTTTGTCCTAAGAAAACAATCCCACCCTCGCAGCAGTTTCCCCGGCCTCTACGCACTTTGGAATCAAGCACAAATAGATGCCACACACATGGTCAATGACATACACAAACTTATTTTCTTTCCAGATTTCCCCATTAACCAAATTATTTCAATCACCTCCCACCTCCCTCCTTACTGCGAGCCAAAAAGCTTTCATTCCATGTGTGCAGACAGGAGGAGGCAAGTTTGTTTTGTTGAACAAAAACAGGTTTCTCTGTGCATGAAATGAAAAATGAGTGCTGGCGTGTTTTCAGCAGATCTTTTCAATCCTGCCACTTTAAAAGCCTTTAATGTATTTTTGCTTTATTTTTTCATTCACCTTCCTCCCCTGCTCTATTTTTAACCATCTTCTGACTTGCTCTTTTACAATATATATTCTTCCAGCATTCTGGCATGGTTCCACTATGTTTGAAGAAGTTGAGCCCTCTTGCCTTTTTTCCTCCTCCCTACACACACACACACACACACACACACACACACACTCAACCTTAAGCATATTTGCTATCTCAATTCGAAGTACTTGAAAATGTTAAGGGTTTTTTTTTTTTTTTTCTTTTCTAATTCTGTGAAGAAAGCCAGTGGTAGCTTGATGGGGATGGCATTGAATCTACAAATTACTTTGGCAGTATGGCCATTTTCATGATATTGATTCTTCCCATCCATGAGCATGGAAGTTTTTCCACTTGTTTGTGTCCTCTCTTATTTCCTTGAGCAGTGGTTTGTAGTTCTTCTTGAAGAGGTCCTTCACATCCATTGTAAGTTGTATTCCTAGGTATTTTATTATCTTTATAGTAGTTGTGAATGAGAGTTCACTCATGATTTGGCTGTTTGTCTGTCATTGGTGTATAGAAATGCTTTTGAAAAATGAGCCTGTATAGCCAAGACAATCCTAAGCAAAAAGAACAAAGCTGGAGGCATCACACTACCTGATTTCAAACTGCACTGCAAGGCTACAGTAACCAAAACAGCATGGTACTGGTACCAAAACAGATACATAGATCAATGGACCAGAACAGAGGCCTCAGAAATAATGACACACATCTACAACCATCTGATCTTTGACAACTCTGACAAAAACAAGCAATGAGGAAAGGATTCCTTACAAAATAAATGGCTTTGGGAAAACTGGCTAGCCATATGCAGAAAACTGAAACTGAACCCGTTCCTTACGCCTTATACAAAAATTAACTCAAGATGGATGAAAGACTTAAACATAAGACCTAAAACCACAAAAACCCTAGAAGAAAACCTAGGCAATACCATTGAGGACATAGGCATCGGCAAAGAGTTAATGACTAAGACACCAAAAGCAATGGCAACAAAAGTCAAAATTGACAAATAGGATCTAATTAAACTAAAGAGCTTCTGCCCAGCAAAAGAAACTATCATCAGAGTGAACAGGCAACCTACAGAATGGGAGAAAATTTTTGCAATCTATCCATCTGACAAAGGGATAATATCCAGAATCTATAAGGACTTCA